CTTAATACAAGCTAGAGACAACAAAAGGTTGGCTACCTTGGTGGACATAGTACAGAAACGTCTTTACTGGTCATCAAATTTCTGTCATCGCACGGAATATGTTCTCATATACAGTGCTAATCAGCAAAATCAGCTCCAGTAATTATCTTTTAAAAAAATTATCAAAAAGCATCTTAAAGTCCCCTACTTCAGAGCTTCTGAGGAAAGCATGGAAACATGAGAGGATCTGACGCTGTGGTGGACTCCAAGAACCATGATTTTCCTACCAGGGCACCAAGGTTAAATCATGTAGTGAAGCTCATTCATAAAAATCTAAAACTGGCTCATTCAGTAAAGCATCGAAGCCAGTCAAGTTAATTCACTCTAACATCTGGATGATAAAGTAGCAAAATGTGTCACAGTCAAACATGATTGTGATTCACGCTTGTGTTGCTTTGTTAACATACTCAGAAACCAGTAGTTAAGATGATTTGTATGATACTCTGGAGATATACTTTATGCGATGTCTCTCCAGTATCAAAACAAACTACACACTCATGCGCAGCCTAATATAGACTCACTTTTTCACTTGAAAAGACTGTACAAGTCAGGTATGCAAAGCTTTACGTTTATGATATGCCCCATCTGTACCTCTATTCAGCCTGAGACCGCCATTTCTTCTGCACGACCACATCCTGCTTTGTCAGGCCCGACCTAAATTTTATTGCATTAGATTATGATATATATGTGCCACAATAAATATCAACCACCAGTTATTTGGCGAGCAACACAGGCCAACTCCACGTGCATGAAACAAGCATCTTTACAGAAAATCAATCTGGGAGAGAAAATATGCAATATACACTTCGATTAGGAGACAAGAAAAGCTATGTTTCTCAGTATTTTATATTTAGCAACAAACTACAGTGCTGCTCGTATAGCTGAGAGGCATCATTCTCTCACTGTCATTGATAAGGGTTAAATACAGCGAGCCAAATTGTTCCCAAATGACCACACACTTCCAGTAAAAACACTCATATTCTATTTCTGTACATTAGAGAGCCGCCTAGGCCGATTTCACCTCTCCACGAGTATCAAATTGCAGCTATGAGCTCATGTGTGTATAAGCTCTTCATCACAAGGAAGATGATACTGTTGTGTAAAAAAAAAGAAAGCCTACCTTTTTTGTGTGCTTTTTTTTTGCTGCATCCGGAGCAGAGTGCAGCTGTGCACAAGGCATCCTGCTACCCGAGAGACAGGCGACTTAACAACTCACTAAAAGGCCTGCGTGTCCTCAGTTAGACACGCAGTTTTGTTGAAGATTAACTTGAATGTCAGCTTACTGGTGAACTACAGAATATTCCTATTAATGCAACAAATGAAGAGTTCCAGTAGCAGGAACGGCACTTTCTTCTTCTCGTCGACCCCTGGATTTGTACCCGAGATATGATTTATGTAACAGTTAACACCTTTAATATCCACCGTTCACGTCACGCCTGCTCAGTCATTTGTTTTTGCGTTGTTTTTATATGATACTACAAAATAAAACAAATAATTTCAGGTAACTCAATTCTGAATGATGAATAACAACAACAACAACAAACACACAGACAAACCAAATCCTATAAATTTCAGCGGGAAAGAACGGCAACTTTCAGGAACGAAGCTGAAATAAAAACTGTAATACTGATAGAGAGACGCAACAGGGACTTTCTTTTTAGTAATGTTGTTATACAGCTTGCATGTCTTTTTCTGTCTTGGAGGCAGCATCACAGTAAGGCAATAACACCTGTGTTGTTAGACTTGGGTGCAGAATGAACAATTAATGCCCCCCCATTTTACTTTCATTTCCATAGCCAATCCTTTAAAATAAATATCACCACAATACCAGTCTTAATTCATTTAAACCATAGAATCATGACATATGGTTAAACCAAGCCCTGCAACTTACAGTCTTTAGGGTCTAAAAAAGATTTTGGATTTGACTTCTTCAACACTAACGGACATCATACACCACCTGTTGACAATACCGCCTCATGTGTTCTTTTGTGAGCCATTCACACGCCTCACAACACTGCAATTTTCAGATTTCTGAATGCATGTAAACCAACCCGTTCTGACATGGATCTCTGTTTGTGTGTATGTTTGTGTTTGCACGCTACTCACTCTCTCCCTCTATTTTATCCGTGCCCCGTGTCCAGATAATAGTCCTTGTCTCCAGCTTGACTTGAAATGTCCGTCTCTCTGGCCGCTGGGACTTCTTAGAATAAAACAGTGTCAGTACTGTCCCGAGCTCCAGGTCTCGGTACAGGTTGTTCATCTCTGTGTCGTTTTCCATCCAAGGAACAGGTCCGTTGGAAAAGAAGCCAGTGGTCCCCGCCATGTCCACTTCCCCTGTTTGTTGTCAGTTTCCTCTCTGAACAATCTGGTCAGTCCAGGCCTAGACAGGGATACTACAGCAGGAGAAGAGGGGGGGGGGGACCCATGAAACAACAATTCCCTGAGGACTTCTAGTGTGTCGATGCTGTACACACATTACAGTTAAGAGTTGGGTCTGTCAGGAGACAAGTTTTAAATAAAGCTTTCCGTACATATGCATTTCATGTATACACACACACACCTGCAGATAAGCTCTCAGTGTAAGAGAGAAAACCCATTTTTCTGCATCCAATATATCTTGCGATTACTCTCATCTTCCTGTTTAAATACACATTGGTATTTATAATACCTATATCGCTATTTTTTTGAAAGCCTGAAATATACTCATTTATAAATTTACATTCACCCATAATCCCTTTTTTGTGTACACACTGCTTTATCATACAGATACATTTAGGACAATAAATAGTGAACAGTAGTGCCATTTTACCCAAATCTTCTGTCATCTGTATCTTTCCTTTTGTAACACTAAAAGGAAAGATATGGGGCAAAATGTAAAATGTGTACGCTTTGTATACAAACGTGCAAAGTTTGAATCTTTTGTTTTACATGAATGTTTCATGTTTTGTACAGAAACAAATGTCACAAAACCTACATTATACGTACATAAAGTGGTGATAAATCAGCATATACATAATAAATAATGTTTTTTTAAATGGACAAAGACACGTATGTACGTTGGTATACAAAGCATAAGTATGTCATTGTATTAATTTTTCTGTAGGGTAAGGTTACTCTCAGTATTGAGCACCTCTCCAACAGTAATATGACTTGTAATTAAATGACAGCTGCAGCCCCTAAAACGCCTGGCAAGGAGAAAACGTGTTGATTAAGCTAATCACGCCTGATAACGTTAACTTTCTCCCCGACATGATTTTAACTTTAATCCAGAAGCGAGGAGGTTTAATCTGATTTTTTTTTTAAACTAATGTTACCAACAGGCCTGTAACCTGCTGCAGTCCGTCCCAGAAGAAAAAGTTTCCTTTTGGATACGTGAGGCATCACATTATTTGGGAATACAACTGGTGGCGAATGGCAGCAGCAGAGTGGGATAACAAGAAACGTCTGGCTATTTTCACAGCGTGGAAACGGGGCCGGTGTGTGCTAGCATTTTGCTGGGCCGAGAGGAAGATTCACGGCTGGTTCCAACCCATGGAATAAAAAAGCCCAGGTGGCAGTAGCTATCCTGCCCTTCTCTCCCCCCTCTCTTTTCGCCTTACTGTACTGGGAAAAATCAACTGGAAAACAACACGTCGCAGGGACCGCTGCGCTGTACCTACCGCCGCAATCTCGGCCCGACCGCACATCTCCAACTGCTGCTCCTCTCGCGCTCCCGTCGTCTTTCTCCTTTTCCCCCCGCACCCCCGGTTTTCCGTGATTAAATCATCACTAGGCCTTGGTAAGGCGCTGCAGTCCCGACGACAACAATTCCCGTTTCCTCTTCACCCCTCCGTCCGTCCATAGAGAGAGGCAGGCAGACGGCGAGAGCGGTGGTAAGACTACGCAAGTTTGTCTGCTCTCCGATCCAGCCAGTGTGGGCCCTTCCCCCGCCCCCATCCGACCACCAGCAACCAGACCGGAGTCAAAAACCAGGCTTCCGCTCAGGGTTTTCACAATAAGATTCGTGTCAAGGGACTTGTTGCTCGGTGTTTTGGAGCAGACACTGTAGTAGGGGTACAGACAAGCCCCAGCTTCATGTAAGTTTTTCTTTCATTTTTTTTTGTCGATTACATTACAAAAATTCTCTGTCAACATTATACAAAATGTAAAATAACAGAAAACGACATTTGAAACACAAATCTTTTTCTATTACCTAGCTACAGTGTCTACTGCATTAGGATTTCAACCCATTTCACAAAGTGCATCCTTCCTTGACATCCAAAAAAGATGACAAATGGATGAATAAGAATCTATAATATTGTATGTTTTTTTTGTTTCATTTGCATGAACATAAAGTAATCAGTTACATTATGGTATTATTTCAGCCAGTGGCGTCTGGGCCCTGTACATAAGCATTTTCTATGGGCCCCTCCCAGCATCCATGGCTATTCATTCTAATAAAATTTATTTGATCACAATTGCCAAACTTCCGGTAATTTTGCGTGTCTCCCGTTAGCTCAAGAGCACCCGTTATCATCCTTTTTTTTTTCTGTACTTCAAAACTAGCTATCTCCTCAATATAATCTGTATCACAGGTTACTGTATCACAACTTGTCAAGTTACAACTTTGTAATTATTCATCCTGTAACTAATACTGCACTTCATTGCAATGTCTAAATTACCAATCAAAGCCAAAGTTGCTGTTTGTGTTGTCCGAATTATTAAATTGTTGTACTTTTCTTCTCCCTAGGAAACTCACTTAACATTTATCGAAATGGGGATGAAATATACATGAAAATAGAAAATATTGATAAATGAATTGCTTTTGAGATATATAACTGGACTATGATTCCTGCCTTGACTTCAATTTGGATTATATCTCTGATGTTTGTTTTTGTATACTCAGGGAATCATCTTGCTTTTTCTCATCCAATTTTCAAGTAAAAACAATAAATAAAAGGACAAAGCATGGAGAAAAAAGACAAGGTTGATATTTTATTCTGAAAACTACAAAGCTCAAAACAATAAGCATTCGACCAATCAGGAGTTGTGTGATAAATGATCAAATATCATGAAATAGTTAATGGTTAAAGTTAAATTATCCATTCACATTTGGAAATTAATTCAAAGAGGACACTTTCTGCTTAATCACAGCAATACAAAAAACAGCACACTACAATGATAAGACTTCTTTTTTGGCAAAATCCACACCCCTCTCAGAAACTGTCTCTGTCTGAAGGAACAGTTTCTCTTCAGCTCTGACCAAATATTATGCAGTACGTCAGCTGTTTCAAGTAACCAAGAGGAATGTGCAGTCTTGTTCATTGCAAAACTGTGGAAACAGACACACACGAGTTGCATATGAGCAATGAAGAGCTTTCTGTTGACAATGAATACAGCACACATTTTATAAAACACTGAATCATAGTTACTGAAAAATGACAAAAAATATTTACATCCCTGAAATAAACAACAAAATCAAACTAAATGAAAAAAAAATAAGATGACATTCGGTGTGCTAATAATTAGGTGAGCATAGTGCTAGGGTTTTCTGTTCTTCACACTGTCTTCAGGCTGTCAGGCTCATTTTATTGTACCAATCTTTCACACTAAAATTCCACAAACTGAAATTCATCCTATCATCTCTCATGTTGTTCCTCACAGTCTCCCACACAAACATTTATTAATTCATTATTCTATGAGAATATAGAATTTCTCAATCAGTCTGATGGCTTACAAATTTCAGCACAGTCATGTCTGACAAAAGATAATACTAATGTGTTCATAGGTGTTTGATCATGGGCAGATAGCTGCAGCTACATACACACTACTGTCATTTTTTAAAGAGAGATGCCCTTTGGCAGCTTGGTCAAATGGTTCAGGAGTTATTTTCCTATGGTCACAACCAATCCATATATACAGCACAAGTATTAAATTGTGGTCACAACTCGGACAAAGTCTCTGCTCCCTCCTTCCCAGCCCTGCAGTAACCACACAGTGGAATCATTTGACATCAACTACAAACCATCTTTACAATCAAAGGCATGGGTAGAAAAGGTAAAACATTAAGTGTGTTTAAAACTCGTAATCCTTGTCAGCCATGTCAATTGCCCAGGCAAACTTCTCTCTCTGGGTTTTGTTGTAGATCTTCTCAATGGGAACACTCCATTTCTTGCACCTGGAGTAGAGGAAAGTTTAAGGTAAAAAAAAATTAATCATCATCATCCACTCACTGGCTGCACCACCGCGTCTATTTATAGGAACTACCGCTATATAGGAAATTCGATGAAATAGACCAGACAGTCAGCTGTCAAAAGAAAATCTAAAACTATTTTGCTCACGTGCATTGCATAAATGTTGTTAGGACTTGATTTCGATGCATGTTACTTTTTATATTGAACTGAAAGTATAACATTTTACTATATTAGTGTAATACCATCTATAATCCTGTGTCTTTAGAGGCAGTCCATATGTACAGTATACCGTATCTATGGTAATGTTAAAACATTGATTCACTGTAATGACAAGGTCCTGGTAGAGACCTTTTTCACGGCAGACATTTTGACTTGTCATAGCAATAAAAGCACGGGTCAAACACATTTTGTGACTACAAGTGACTTCTATGAGTGTGTGTAGTTATGCACCAAGGTGCACACCAAACAAATCTAATGTTACATTTAATGCATGAAGGTGTTAAAATGAGAAACACTCATATTGGGCATATGTGAATCAAACATAAGCAGCTAACTAGTAGCTAATTAAAAAAACAGATAATTTCCCTGCTAATTTCAGAAGAGGATTGTAGCTAGCAAGGACAACAGATTGGTTTAGCGAACCTAGTACCCTCTCTGCATGACAGAACCATACGTCAGCTAGCAGTCAACCCAATATGACTCTATGTTTTCATCTCTGTTACACATACAACTACAGTGAAGACCAGGTTCCCATGCACCACCCTATGAGTGGGAACCCCATCCCTTACGCCTTACAATCAGGGAAAACATGGAGCATTCCTGTATCCATTGTGCTTGAGGAGGAGGCACTCCATAAATAGCTGTGAGGTATGGGTTAGGGAAGGCGGACAACTGTTCCCCTTCTCTGTGGCCTGGTCCTCCATTCAGCCACAGAAAGCTCCTCATTGACTTCCCACATGGAGGAAGGAGTGCTGTTTGGGGACGCTCCCTGGCTTTCAGAAACAAACCCCATTGTTTATCGCGCTCACACGCTTTTCTTCCTCTTATTTTCCTTCTGCAGACGTTAGCTTTTTTGCCTGTGCTGCTCCTTTTCCTACAATGCAAGAGCGTTTCCTGCCTTTCTGTCACCAAGGTAGACATGCACCCACCCAGAGAAAGTCAGCCTATTAAACAGTAGGTGGTGGACTCATGTCACAGGTTTTTTTTTGTTTTTACCATAATCGCACCTGTAATCAAATAATAGTTAGTAGCTGATAAAAACAGAGGTAAACAGCTTCAGCTGAGCCACATAAATACCATGCAACAGAGATGCGTGGATCCAAGTAGTTGAGCTTGGAGGTGCCCAGAGCAATCTGCTTGTTCTCCTCTCTGTCTGTGGCCTGCACCTGGAGCTTCATCAGCTGCTCCTCTATCCTCTGGACAGCTTTCCGCTTCACCTCCACAGCCCTGAGAGAGACACAAAGACAGACAGAGGGAGATGGATACAAGAAGATAAAGACAGAGATGCATAGAGGAAGGGAGACACAAAGAGAGGAAGAATTATACAGACTGTCCGTCTGATGTTTAGGAGTCAAACAAACATTGTGGCCGTACATCCCAGGAACAAAGAGGTTTAAGTAGGTAATTAAGGAATAAAACTGTGACAGTCTCTGGCACAGGCTTCCTTACTTTTTACTCTTGTCATCATGGGAAGCCTTGTGATCAGCCTTGGCAGCCTTCAGCTGCTTCCTGGCTGCTGACAGTTGATTCTGTTTCTCGTCGATCTGCAATCACAGCAAACACACGCCGAGTAAACTAGATAATCTGCGTCACGGAGAGAGGGAGTATCTTTATCTTTCACAATGACAAAAAAATCAAAATTTTATTCAAGGCAACCACCGCGACCCTGTACGCAGGATAAGCGGTTGATGATGGATGGATGGATGGATTCAAGGCAACCGAGCTGACGCCAAGACATCATTGCCTGCGGAGAGACAACTAAACTGAAGAAAGGGGGAACACAGCGGTTTACCTTGGTCTGAAGGTTTTGCATGGACTTCTCAAATGTTTTGGGTGGAGCTCTCTGGTGGTTACAGAGGATGGCCACTGCACGGTTGGCTCGGTTGTATGACAGGATTTTAGCTGGGATACTGTCATCAGCTGGAGACCAAACAATGACACAACAAGGTAGGAAAAGTAGTTTAACATGACTGAAATTCAAAACCACTGACCCAGATTCTGTAGTAGTTATGCATTTCAAGGGACAGTAAAGGCTCGTGCAGACTACACGACTTGCCGTCAAAGTGAAAGTGTCCTTGTGGCGTTCACATTACGTGACGGATCGGTGACAGGGGGTCACACACTACACAAGCTGACAGCAGCTATGGTACCCGACGCTGGTCTCCAAACCACGTTTTGTCAAGAAAACACACTTTCACTTTCACTGAAATGGGAAATGGGAAATGACGTGACCTACACAGGAAACAGCTGTTGTTTGTTGTTATAAAGATAGAAATTATAAAGACAAAGAATATGGGTGAAAGAATGGATTAGCACATGCAGGTAGCAGGGATCATCTGTGCTACAGAGAGAGCTGGAGGTGAGCAAAGTGCTTTGTGGTGAAAAAGTAGCTGCCTGTTCTGCCTGCTCTCATTGGCTGGATGTGGATGTAGAATCGGCCCACTTGTCCAAATATTTGGCATGCTAGATATCTGGCAGACATCAGCGATGTGTCAGAAATGTGTCGGGGAGCCGTTTTGATGTGTCGTTGAGTAGTTCACACATAAGGACTGGCGACCGCTGATCAACCGATCGGTGAGCTAAAAATCGTGTAGTGTGAACTGCTTTATTATTTGTCCTAACAAACACAATACAGAGATTGATAAATAATAAAAAACAGAATCCTATACATTTAACCCTTTAGAATTCCTTACAGGTATTAATTAACTTTAGCATGAATTACACTCTGATGTATGCTGATAGACAATATGATTGATACCTAGGCCTGTCATATATTACTGAAAGCTCCTGTGATGACATCAGGTAGAGTCATCTGTTGAGTTTACAGACATGTGTACTGGCTGGTGCCAAAAACAATACTTTTTCTTATTATACTTTTCCAGACATTGTCTTCCATTGGCATTAATGAAATTAATGCCAATGGAATTAAAAATTCTTTGCAGTGCCACTTGTGTTATTTTTATATGGCAAATTGTGTCAAATGTTATCACTATTTATTGTTGAATTCATTAAAAAAAGTATTTTTGCCTCCCACTCGACACCGTAGAATTTTAAACTACGTAGTTGAGTTTTGGTTCAATTGCAGGAAAATGATGAAAAACCGTAAAGAGTGAATAAGGGTTTTAGCTGTGTACTTAGAAACCATGTGGGTGTCATTCAAGTGAGCAGCCTGTGACTGACTGAAGCTGCTGTTACTCACAGCAAGAAAGCTCCTTGAGCTGCTGCTGCAGGGTGATGGAGGCGTTGTAGGTGCGAAAGACCTTGGCTGTCAGGCCATCCATCAGCTCCTGTAAGTGCTTATTCAGAATAGAAGTCTGCAGGAGACACAAGAGAAAGAGAAGAGGGTACAGAGTGACAGAAGTATTACAACTAGAAATTTAAACAGTTCACTCAGAGTGAAGCCTCCGTGTGTTTCTTACATTCAGTCTGTCAAAGAGGTCATCTTCAGGCTGCTTGTTCTCCAGGAACAGCTGAAGGTTTTTAAAAACCTGAAAAGAAAGGAGCAAGGATCTATTTAGTGTGAAATCACTTTTTACGGAACACTTCAGCCCAACGATGCTGAAGGATGCATAGTCACATTGCTGCCAGATGGGGGTGCTATATTATTTCTGTTGATGATGACAAGTCCAGGTGGCAGATCACAGGTTAAAGTGTCTTTTGTATGTACTTATGTGTGTTCAGTGGGGATACAGGAAGTGTGGCCAAATAGACGGTGCCCAGGCGTGCTGAAGAATTTGTGACTGAATACAGAACATGTCTAGCGTGTATCTGGGTGAGTATCTGTGTGTGTGTGTGTCTGTCTTTACACTCTGGTACTAGCAGGAAACAGACCACCCTCCGAGGCAGAGCCAACGGAAAGCTTTTAGTGCCTGATCACCTGTCTGTGCAAACATCCTCCACAGCTTCTTATCTCGTTAACACTAAATTCACATATGTGTCAAATACACACCCAATACCACCCTCATAAACCCACATAAACTCACAGCTTTGTGCTTTGATGTATCGATTTTTGTATATCTTTATTATTATTATATATTTTAGTATGTTGGGAGTACGGTACGGTGCTCTCGTGTAAAATTTTTTTTTATCTCAATGGGACAAAATAAAGGTCAAAATAAAAAAAAGACATAAAGTCTGCCAACCCTCCTCTCCCTCCGTCCCCACGTTCCTCTCCTCACTGTCCCTTCCCCTTTCTTACCCTCTTCTCCACAGGGATCTTGTTGTAGTAGCGGATGGAGTCCTTTCCCAAGAAGTCAAACTCCACCACGTACTCCTGGTCATCCATCTTGGGGTACAATTTGATGTGCTCCACCCGCAGCGAGCAGCAGCCCACTGTGTCGGCTGTCTCACCTTCCTCCTTTTCGTTACCCGCCCTTAGTGCAAGCTGCAGGGGAAGCGCCGCGAAACGTGATCATTAACAAGACTTAAGAGTGGGAATTTGCTGAGGATTTATTCCCTAAACCTGTTTACCTACATTACAGTACACCAGTATTTCTCCAAGTGGAATGGAAATTATAAAAGGTCTGTAGTAAAATGAAAACTGTACATGTCAGCATGAGAGGAACCATACTCTGATGGTAGATTTAATTCTCTATCCAGTGCTTTTCTTTCCATATACATCACAAGTTAAAATGAAAGATGTTGGTTTTTGTAATATTTGTTTTCCACTTATGCATCTTATCATTACATTTGTACGGTATTCCACCTCACCTTGTCTATGAAATACAGCGCCACGGCTCTCTGCCTGATCCTCATCTCTTTTGACTTCCAGTCGTCCCTATACTGGGTACGGATGCGATCCACACATTTCTTTAACCGTCGAGCAGTCTCATATTTCTGCCAGTCCTTCTCCCCCTGTAAACGCACGCGCACACACACACACACACACACACACACACACACACACACACACACACACACACACACAACAAACTTTTTATCCAATAGGGAAACAGACAAATTGTTTTTTTCCACCAAAGAATAACTGTAACAGTATAACAGTACCTTGATCCTGGAGCTAGGATTCAACATGATGTACTTGATGGAGCCCTGGATGTTCTCTGTCCAAGATACCAGCCAGGTCACTTTGTTGTCATGGCGAACCTCCTTCCATTTTGTTCCTGGGGGAGGTTTGGGGTGCTTGGAGTCCCTACAGAAAAAGAGGAAGGTTTGACATAAATAGAAATGTGTTGACAGCTTTTTTCCCCCAACGTATTTTCAGTACAGCATCTCAACATTCCTCAGAGGTACAATAAACAGCACCTATAACAGACCTTAAATTAATCTACTTCGGTAAAATATTTTTTTCATCTTAATAGGCCAGCTTAAGATTAACTTTAAATTGTAAATACTACAGCTATGAGACAATGTGTAGGTCGACATGTCCTCCCTGGGTCTTGTTATTGTTTGCTCACACACACACACACACACACACACAGCCCCTGACATGAGATGAAAAGAAAAGTTTCCCCACTGTCTATAAATAAAGCCCAAACAAGATGGCAGTTAGAAGAAGATAACAGGAAAAAAGGAGGTTAAGCAGAGAGAGGTTCAAAGCAGGACAATGAATGTGAGGTTTGTGTCTGCATGTGTCCTTCTGACAGAATAATAGCTCCTACAAGCACCCACTTGCATATTCTGTTTCCAAAGCAACCGTGTTTACACCATACCCTTATAATAAACACACTAGTCCTGCAATTTACTTTCACATAACCTCGCCTACAATGCTTTTGACAGGGCCTTGTGGTAAAAACTCAGGACAAGACAATATTAACATCAGTGTTTTGACAGGTTTTGTGTTCTTCCTATGTATCCAAGAACATGAAGAAAAAAAGAAGAAAGAATTCATGGCAGCGACGGTGGTGGTGAGATTACCCACTTGCTACAGTTAATAATGATGTCTTCAGGTCTGATGCGTCGTTTAAGCATGCCCATCTTCGGATGATCGCCTCGTCCTCGGAAGAGGCCTGGCGGCTCAATGCGGAAGTTACCAATCCTCTCCTTGTGGTTGTCCATGATGCAGAAACCGTACTCCTGGAGGAGTCTCTCATTCTCTTCTTTGTTTTTCTACAAAGTGTATGAAAATATGAAAATGCAAGGAGAGATGTTCTGATGTTTTCAGGGTCAGGAGAGTCTGCATGGATACAGGCCTACCTGTTTCTCCTCTTTTGATAGCTGCTTCCTAGCTTCTGATTGGGCCTTGAAGTACTCATTCATCTCACTGAAGTTGCACTTGTTCAGGTCGGTGATCTTTGACTTCTCCTCTGATGTCATTTCCTAAAATAAAAAAGAAGACATCTGAAGTATGTCCAACTTAAATACCTGAACGTCCCACCCTCTGTAGATTCTCGCTCATCTGCTCAACTTGAGACACCTGGACATGTCTCATCGCCTCACCTTCCTCCAGTCCTTAAAGAAGTTCTTCCTGAAGATGTCCTTAGTGGTGTACTCATGATCCAACATCTTGGCAAAAAACGTTGCTACCTCCTCAGCAGGAGGACTAAGTTTCATAGGCTTGCCTACAAAATACAGAAAAATCACATTGTAGTCGTGACCAAACAAAATGAATAATATATCACAAATTATTTTTTACACAGACAGACTCACCATCATAGAAAAATCTGACTTTATCAGGCAAGGGTTCATACGGAGGTGCAAACACTGGACCCTTGTGCTCAAGGAAGCGCCATTTGGAGCCATCTGTGTATCTTTCCTCCTCCCACCTAATCACCACAAACAACAACAAAATACAACCCATGAGAGAAAACAAAACTATGGTATCTACTTCTCAGTAGCTGCTCATATCAGTTAACTGTTGTTGGATTTCCTGAGGAAAAGAACTATTTGTCCTCAAAATGATCTTACCATTTCCACTTCTCCTCTTCTTCTTTTTTGGATTTCTTTCCCTCTGTTACATTTTTGTCTTTTGTCTTCTTTTTGGGCTTGATGTCCTAAAACAAGTGAAGAGAGCAGACTCAATCTGGGGAACACAAACAGTAGAGACTCCAGTCTGGGGAATGTAAGAATATATTCATCAAAAAACAAACGAACAAAAAAACCCAAAAAGTTAATGAACCTCATCCTCCTCATCCTCTTCGTACTCATGTTTCCTCTTCTTGGCCTTTTTGTCGTGTTCTGTCTTGACTTTTTTGGGCTTGTATTCAAATCTGTAAACAAATATATAGATGATCTAACTGTATCTCTGATTACAGAACTGACGGTGACAGAACAGGAAGCATAAGATAGAGATCTGGTTTAATTTGCATGATACCCACTCTTCATCATCATACTCTCGTTTGGAGCTCTTATTGTGTTGGGGGGAGGGGTAGAAGCCGTTGTCCTCTTCAGGCTCGCTCTTAATGGCAGGAGGGCTTGCATCTCTAAGTCAGACAATGAAGACATTGAACTGCATATTAGCAAAGCAATATCACACTAATCATAACCAAGCAATGGCTAAGCCTGAAGTCAGTTCTTTATAATTACTTTCCACACAAGGCACAAGAAAGATATGCTGTTTACCTTACATATCCATTTTCTTTCTCCTTTTTAGGCTTGTCTACATGGGATGATTTGATCTGTGAGAAACAGGGGGGGAAATATATTAGCATATTTCTCTGCCATTGTAAAATTTACAATTTCACACCTTTAAACAATATTCTGACAGTCTAAACTTTAACTTATAGTCAGAGTTCATGGAAGGCTATAGGGGCCATTTCATTTTTGTGTTTTGTTTTCTCACCAGGCCAATCTCTGAAAAACATTGGAAGACATTAATAAACACTAGAGTTGTGTCGGGACCACAAAATTATTTAGTGAACATGAGCGAACAAAGCTTTTAAACTAATGTCACAATATAATAATGCTGTCGTGATGAGAAAACAAACCAAAAAATTAAAAAAAACACTAAAGGCCTACACAGCCATTTCATAAAAGGCAAGACAGACTGCCCATGAACAAACCTTCTCCTCTCTCCTCTTCTCTTTGTCCTTGTCTTTCTCTTTGTGTTTTTCTCTGTGTTTGTCTGAGCTGCCGTCACTGTGCTTCAGCTTTTCTTTGTCTTTGTGTTTCCTCTCAGAGTGGTCCTTATGTTCGCTGGAACACAGATGCCACAGAGGTCAGAGATCAAGTGCACGAGATCAGATGTGGTCCAGGGGCCGTATTCCACAAACTTCCCAATTTGGTATTACAGAAGCAAATCCCAGCTAACTTTAGGATTCATATCTTATATTACTTCATCTTCTTTTTTATCTCAGGTTAGGAAAAATTGTCTGTTACCTAACAACCAGTGCTACTTCACAACATCATCACAACATCATGTTAGACAGACTGAGGCACTGGGTGGGGATCTCTGGTACTGCCCTATAATGGTTTTCATCCTACCTGTCAAATAGGAAGTTTTGCGTGTCTGTAAACAACTATGTCTCCTCATTCTGTCCAGTTAAATATGGTGTGCCTCAGGGGTCGGTCTTAGGACCCATTTTGTTTTCCTTGTATCTGCTTCACCTTGGACATATTATCCATAAACATGGCATTTCTTTTCATATTTATGCTGATGACACACAAATATACTTGCCCGTCAGATCCACAGACCCTGGAATGCTGAGTTCACTTAACAACTGCCTTTGTGAAGTTAAAAAATGGATGTCAAATAATTTCCTCCAGCTGAACTCAGACAAAACAGAAATCCTGGTCATCGGGTCTCAGCAGATGGCAAATCAAATACTGCCATCTGCTGGTTCCCTAGTAAATCACATTAAGCCTGTGGCAAAGAACCTTGGTGTTTGGTTTGATAGTAATTTAAATTTCGAGCAGCACACCACAAAGCTTGTTCAATCATGTTTTTATCAACTTAGAAATATAGCAAAAATTCGATCTATGTTAACTTTTAAGGACACCGAGACCATTTTACACGCCTTCATCTCATCACGCCTGGATTATTGCAACTGCCTTTTCACCTGTTTAACCCAAAAATCTACTGATCAACTCCAGACTGTCCAGAACTCAGCTGCCAGGCTTTTAACCAGAACAAAGAAATATGACCACATTACTCCTATTTTAGCTTCATTACACTGGCTCCCAGTATGTTTTAGAATTGACTTTAAAATTTATTGATCACTTTTAAAGCTCTTCATGGCCTCTCGCCTTGTTATATTTCTGACCTTTTAGTCCCATACGCACCAGCACGTACCTTGAGATCCTCGGGGAGAGGTCTGTTGTCTGTTCCAGAGTCTCGACTGAAAACTAAAGGGGACAAAGCGTTTGCTGTCAGGGCCCCGAGGCTCTGGAACAGCCTGCCCGAGGAAATCAGGTCGGCTGAGTCAGTGAACTCTTTTAAGTCCCTTCTTAAAACATACTTTTATAGGAGAGCTTTTCCCGATCTTATTTGACTGTATTTTATCACTTTTATTTTATTGTATTTTACTAATTTTATATTAATTTTTCATGCTCTTATCTTGTTTTTTTTGTATTATTCTTTACACTTGTTAAAGCACTTTGTAACTTGTTTTTGAAAAGTGCTCTACAAATAAGGATTATTATTATTATTATTATTACTTGTTCTCATCTCGCCAAACTAAACAACTTCGTAACCGTTTTTATTTATTTTTTTAAAACAAACTGAAACATTGAAAGATGGAGACAGATGAGTTAGAGGTGTTGGTATACCTCTGTCCAGAAATCCAAATATAGCCTACATGAGCACTAACTCGGGAGATAAAAGAGAGTGGGCTAGGATAGCAGACACAGTCTCCGCCGTATATGGCATCCAACGGAGCGCTGATGCTATCAAAAAGAAAATACACTGACAAGTGATATGAAGAGAAAGGCAACTCGTGTCTAAAGAGAAGAAGAAAACCACTGGTGGCTCCTTCTGTGCCCCTTTACTGACCCCGGCAGAAACCCTTATTGTGAAAGTGAATTATGAAAGGCTGCGGGCTAAAGTTATCATGTTTTGCATAATTTTCTTGTGTTTACCAATCTCCTCCTATCATAGACTTGCATTAGAATACTTCTTTTACATCTAGCCTTTACATTATCTTGTACAATGGTACATTATCTTGTGTTACATCACTATCGGAGTGTTTTGTCACTGAAAAGGATCTGCCAGAAGCCACTCAATGAATATATTCCACCTGTTGACATTATGGATTAAACACTACCTGGTGCAAAAAGTGAAAGTTAGGACAGCTTAAAACTTATCCTAAAGTTAGGAGAGTTTACTTAAAATTATGGGAAGTTAGGATGCTTGTGTAATAGCCTATATGTTTCCTATCTTAAGTTAGGATAGGACAATGACTTAGGAACTGTTAATCTGTATGGCCTTTTCCCTAAATCAGGTCTTAGCCCTAATTACCATCTTACCAAACAGTTAAGATAGGAACTGCAAGTTAGGAAGTGTTTGTAATATGGCCCCAGATGCACAGGCACAAAGGATGTCATCGACAAAGCACCAGCAACATAAACGTTATTTATTTAACAGACAATGACAGTGTCACAGACAACTGTAGGCAACTTTCCTACACAAATATTGGTATAAGGCTCCATATGCAAAAACATCAAGTAGAATTTTGTCTGATATTTCACCAAAAAACTTGAGAGAAAGATGCAGATATCCTACCTGTTGCTGTACTTGAATTTCTCTCGCTCCTTGTCTTTCTTGTGGTCTTTGTGTCTGTGTTCCTTGTCTCTGTGCTTGTCTTTATGTTTGTGAGTGACTACGACACAAAGGAGAGATCGTCTTGTTTAGCAGCCTTTTTTAAAAAAAAGTCAGAACATAGAAAATAGTTTTGCTCAGTCTGTAAGTCAGAGAATTAATCTTTTACATCGGACTGTCTACACTTAAGAGATTCAGATGTCCCTTTTATCCTGTTTATTTGAGCTAGGAAGTGGACGGTGGATGGAGATGGTATTTCCCTTACAAAAGAAAAAGGGCCTTGATAATGATCCTTCTTAGTAATCTTGTCATACTTAAGATGTGCCACAAGATTACTGTAGTATTCCAACTATATCCTCACAACAATCATCTCTTCTAATATTTTAAATATTTAACATAACACCTTTTTAGCAGGCTTTTATTTAACTTTTGATGTTGTTGTAACCTAGAAATCTTGATTGGAAGTGTTCAGGAGTCCCTCTGGCCTGTGGGTAAGCTACTGTTGCATACTCTTTGTAAAATGATGGCAGGTAGGAACTAAAGTTACTCTTAGGCAAAAGGGACATGAAATAGCAATAACTTAAATGTTACACATAACACTAAATACATAGGCCTGTTGATTCTGTGACCTCAAAATAATACTGTGGACTTAATCCTACTGACAAACCTACCACAGTACTGTAAAGAAATAATTAAAAGTGTAATGCAAGTTTATATAGTTTAAATAAAAGAAAATGTGAGAGTGTACCTCTGAGTTAAACAGTTTTCATGTTCTCAGTGCACCTAGTCAAATGATTAGGCTGTAACAATGATTTTACAAGAGTCTTCATATTAAAATGTTTCCTGCTGAGTGATATATCCCTCCTGAGGTAGACCTGGCTCGGCGTGATCATCACCTCGTGGCGCCCTGTTGTCATGGCACTTTAATAACGGGTATTTCTGCTATATTAAACAGTAGCACACATCCCAGCCATAAACCAAATCATTTCCCTCAGACTGCTCTGCTCTCCATCACACCAGGCAGCAAAATTAGGCCTCTGGGAAGATAGTGTTCTCAACTTTGCAGGAGTAACGGATACACGTGTGTGTGTGTGTGTGTGTGTGTGTGTGGGGGGGGGGGGGGGGGGGGGGGGTATAATTTGTGCAACACACACAAAAAATAGACTGCTTAAGGCATATGCTTTTAATAATGTAGTGCAACTTTCTTTTCTGTGGCTTGAAGTTTAACACTCGTACGTGAGCGTTCCCTGTTGGCAGTGCAGATAAATGTCTCTAGCACAGAGATGGAGGCAGCGTGCGGCTGGTGGAGAGATACGGGTAGGGGGATGCGATAAGCTCCCGGCCCTCGCCTCCATATCACGGCAGACAGTTGGCTCTCTGATCGGCGCTCTGGCAGCTACATACAGAAAAAGAAAATGGCGCAGAGACTAAGTCCTCAGCCCCAATTCTGCCACTTTCGGCTCCAAAATTCGTTTGGATTGCACGTACATATGATGAAACTAATGCATGCAAAATAAACACGAAACCAGGTCCTTTCGGAATACCCCAGCAGATTAAAAAACCGAGGGCCGAAAGTGCACATTTCAGACCCTCTTTTTGAACAATAGCCGCAAGAGAGTGGAGGAGAAGGGACTTAGTCTCTGGGACGCCATTTCTGTCCTTTAAAAACTAACAGTAGGCAGATCACGATTCCGATTGGAAATCAGACTCAGTATGAATAAAAACCCTCATCAGAGGACCTACCGCTTCCTTTAGATCCAGAATTGACCTGGAAATTGTGAAGAAATATGTTTTTAATATTTCAATTTTGCAAATGCCGGTAGCTTGGTTATTCAACTTTCAACTGGCATACAAATATACCATAGAATGCATGTATTTCGCCATAATAAAATGAAAATACTCCACATAGTTTTCACTAAAATGATAAAACAGCATAACCTAACGTTTCTTACCCGTTATTTCATATAGTCACGAATAATACCCGTCAGTTATTTCCAAGGCATTTAAACAAACTGACCACAGACATGAATTATTGACCGAGATGTACCTGTGAGTCTCCATGTCCATGATCTCCGCTCATAGTAGAGTTGTTTTTTTTTGTTTGGTGAAGCAGGTGAAGTTATCACAGTAGACAGCTGTTCAGGATGCGAGGCTCAGGGAAACCTCACTGACAGACTGGAATGGAGTCCCAATGTTTACTAACTGCGCATGCTCACACCACCCTGAAGCCCAGGACAACACTGTGCGTGGTCCCTACCTGAACCAGTGTATCAACATTTCAACTCAGTTGCTAGAGTGGATATTTTATCCCTTCAACGTACACTCGTTTCATTGCATTCATACAGGATGTTTATGGTGGAGGAAAAAAAAAGACATCTCCTAGAGCATCATGGAGTCCTGACTGTTTACACCACACTCCACCTCCTACAGTGCTTATTAATAATACAGTACTTTAAAGCAGATCTGGAAAGAATTAGCAGGCTGTGAGACTGAACTTCAAATGATCAACAACCTTAGGACAATGCATGAATCATCTTACACAGTTTCACAGAACAAAAAGCAGTAAAAAATTTAATTCAGTTTTACAACATAATTATACAATCATGACAAGCTCCATTATCAGTCTTCACATGATTAATCCAGCATTTAATATAAAAAGCACATTCACACAAACACATACTGTATGCACACACTCTAACTACAGTCTCACGTAATAGCATGGACAAAACAAAAGCATAATTAAGTTTAAAACAATCTGTACACGCTTTCTTCCTCCGGTCGAAATTCATAATCTCGGAGGGAAAAACCGATATCAACTGATTCACAGCGAGAAACAAAAACATTTACAGTACAGTTGACAGGCTATTTAGACTTCCTTCGTTTGGCCTGGGTGGGGCTCGCTCCAGTTTCTGTTTAAAAAAAAAAAAAAGAAAAGGAGTACACAAGTATATTAGGGGAAATATAGTAATGCCATGTGTGTAGCTACGATTTAATAATTGATATTGTGTCTTTAAAAGCTGCTTGTGTGTTTAAGTTACCTTTTACAGCAGCACTGGTTCCGGGCCTGGCTGATCTCTTCCTAATGGCGCTGTCAGCTACTGGCTCCTCCTCCACCTCCTTCTCTGCCCGGGAGCTGCGTCTGCTCGGTCCTTTGGGCTTCTCCACAGCAGCTCTGAGAGGACCAGAAAGAAAAACAACAAACGACAAGGAAGGACAACACAAGGATGCGTTACTGAAGATGCAAGGGTGTGCGTTAACTCTTCTCTACTCAGAGAAAGATATAATACCACTCAGGACTGCTGTTTTTCCTCGTCTACCACAGATAACGTGCGTCTTCATCCCAACAGCATCCGCTGCGTCGACATGATCACTGCTTGTGTCTTTGCAGCACAAACATGTTAAAATACATACCTTGGGACTAAGTTGATGGGCGTCTTTCTTTTCTTTGCCCATCTGTGATAGAAGTGGAAAAACAGCGGTAAACTATAAACTGTGCTGAACAAAAAATGGCTTTACTTCCCCACCATATTATGACAATCCCCAGGAAAGGTCAGGTCAGTGAGTGGTACAATTTGCTTTGCGATGGGCTGTTCTTTGTTTAAATATCTGACATGCATAAGTATATTTATATTGTTGCATGCTATTTATACATACCAATTGCTGAGGCCACGTGACTCATTGTTTTCACCATGTAACCCCTTGGCCAACCAAAAGAACTCCCTGAGTTTCAGTAGAGTTAGAAATGTCTAAGCATTTCTCCTTCGAGAGCATGGGTCTTAAGACTAGGCCAACTTTTCAGAGATCAACAGATAGAATAGATAATAGTAGGGAAAATCTTAATAGACCCCAAGCACATGGAGCATTACACAGCTAATCAACAGTACAGCAGTTCAAGTAATACAAATGTTATGAGGAATCTTACCCCTGCTCAGAACCTGTCGAGACCTCTTCACCTAAATGGGACAAAAAACAAGAGTTACTTCTATGCCAACCAGTTCCAAAAGACTATAATGAGATCATAGGGCATTGTCCTTTTTAACAACTTCTTAAAGACAAAGATGACCACACTTACTGGTCTTCTCACTGGCAACAGGTTCCTGTGACTGTGGGACTTCTTGTTGAATGGGTGCTGAGGAAAAATAATTGAATAGCTCAACTAACACATTTAAATATGTAAAACATATTTAGTTAGGAATATGTATCACAGATTCCTAAACTAAAACCAAATATAGAGTGGCTTGTGTGTTAAGCCTTGCACAACTATCTCTTCTACCAGCAGTTAGCAAAGGCCTTGCATATAGCAATGGTCTTCCTTTTTAAACCAGAAAAAAACAACAACCAAATATTCATTGTAAAATGTACAAACCCTGGAAAGCTTGATACTTAAATCTGGATCGAATTAAATTATTTGATGTGCTTATTACAATCCTGCGAATTTGTGTGTGAAAGCATTTGATTTATTGATTCCTGCTGGCATGTAAAAGAATTTCAACAAATTTAACAAAAATGCTTCTGAAATTAAACTCCTTAAAAAGGAACATCAGTCATTAGCAAGAGTATGGTCATTATCTTGTTTACTTGATACATGCATACATACAAGGGCTGGGCAAGTTAACATGTTATTATCGCATTAATGCATTAATTAACACCGACAATTATTTTATCTCACGTTAATGCAGTTTTTATTATCATCATCATCATTAATATTTTGAAAGTCCTTTTCTCACTGGCTCTCAATACACATACAGTCAAACCACGGGTCACAGAGGGGTGGGAGAAGTAGATAAACAAAAGCAAGACAAGCGAACAAATGCCACAGCGAAGTGGATAAGGATGGTTATGATCGTGACTCTGGATGGTATTTTCACATAACAAGCTAGATAAAATAGCTTTGGTTTTATACTATTTGATTTGATTAAATTAATGTTTAAGTTGAGATTTACAAGAAATATTTTATTGCTACTGTGTAAAGAGAATACTGCTGGCAAAAAGCACCTTATTTATTTAGTAAGTGTTATTTAAGTGTTTACAAACAGCATGTTATTGCACTTTTGTGTATATAGCAATACATTTCAATTAAAAGTGTTCAATACACTACTTTAGAATTCATTATTAAATTTTGCGCATAACTATGTGATTAATCGAGATTAAATGTTTTAATCTTTGCCTAGCACTAATACATACATACCCAATGATTCTTTAAACTCACAGCTGTTTGTTTACCTGGGGTGGTCTGAGTGGTTTCAGCAGGTGCAGCAGCTTGCAGCATGGAGGACTCCATAGCTGGGGGGTCAGACTGAGCTGGCAGAACTCCACTGGGGTTAGTAACTGGAGAGGATGTGGTAGGGGAAACCTCCTGAACAGGTCCAGGTCTGGCAACAATTGGAACAATGGACGGTACGGGGCTTTGTACAGGAGCAATCGTAGAGAGCAAGTTAACTGAAGAGACACCAGTGACAATAGGAGCTTGAGAAGTTGCAGCCTGGGCTGGGCTCGAGACTGAAGCTGGTGCAGACCCTGGAGCCTGTGTTACAATCTGAGTGGGAACAGCAACTTGGCTGGAAACTGCCATTGGTGATGACACTGCAGGCAGAGTAATGTTGTTTGGAGCAGCAGTAGTATGGGTAGCTAGTGCCTCAATCTGAACAGCAGAACTAGCAGGAGGATGAAAGGCCTGGGGTGGCGCAGTCCCAGTTGGCCCCTGTGCAGGCCTTTCTACAGGACTCTGCTGAGAGTCAGCTGTACTGGTAACAGCTGCAGAGGCCTGTGCAGGTTTACTTTTCACCTGGACAGTGGGAGATGGAGACATGGGGCTCTTTCGGATGGAATTAACAGCCCCTGGACTAGAGCAGGGAGGAGGAGAAGCCAGTGGTGGCTGAAAGGGAGATGATGCTGAAGGGCTTGGATGGGGAGATGGCTGCTGGACTGGGGGACTAGATTTCTGAGCAGAGCCTGCCTCACTTGCATTCTCTGTTTTGACAGCTCCTGGGTTAATTTGCTGAGGAGCTGGGGGGGTAGCAACTGGGGCTGATGAGGACATACTAGTGGCGATCTGGACCTGTCCAACAGCACTTCTGGCAGCCTGAGTGCTGGTCATGTTCACCCCTGAGGAGTGGGTGGAGCTTGGGGCAGGAGAAAGTTGGATGTTTGTAGTAGACACCTGAATAGGCCCCATCATGGTGACTGACTGTGATACCACTGTGGAATTGGCTGCCACAGGTGCACCTGGGACCTGAAAAATTGGGTTGATAAATACAGGGGTTGTGGCGATGAACTGAGGGGGTCGGGGGACCGGGGCCTGCTGCCGCATGTCCTGAGGTCTAATGTTCTTGTTAGGGACGGCCACCATGGTGGAGACCATAGATGCGGGTGCCTGGGGAGTGGGGGCAGAAGTGATGGGGTTAGAAGTGACATAGACAGTGATCTGGTTGGGGGAAATGGTGCTAGAAGAGGCAGGGATCTGTATGACTGAGTGAACACTTGTCACAGGTTTATGACTAGGGCTTGGGTTTGGCGCCGAAATGGCTGGGTTTAGACCAGAGCTGGATTTAGAACTGGTAGTAATGGTGGAGGCAGGAGTGCTCTGATTTGAAGTGACTGGGTTGGGGCTTACATTCGTGGTGGCATTAGTGTTAGTACTGAGGGTGGGGCTAAGGGTAGGTGTTGGGTTTACATTCGAACTGGGAAGGGCGCCAAGACTAGAGATGGGGTTTTGGTTAAGGCCAGGGGTAGTACTGGAGTTTACGCTATTGCTAGAGTGCAAGCTGGGAATTGAAGCAGGCTGCAAATTAGGACTGCTGTTTGGGATTGGGACAGCAGGTTTGGCTTTAGCTTCTGATTCATTTATAGTGGCACTAGTAGCAACAGAAGCTGACACATCTGTACTCTGGGAATTACTGTAGAGTGGTCTCTCTGGATCCAAAGCAGACTTGGGACCGTCTTTTCCCATAACCTCCCTAACAGTATTACTCTGTATGGGCCGAAGAGGCATGTTTGGGATACCCGTGTTATCCAGTAACTGATTAAGGGAAGTTGGAGCTGTCCTGAGAGTAGGTGAGACCTCGGAGTCCTGCATAGGTGCCACTTGTGCTGGCTGCCTATCAACTGTGCCACCCTGCAGTTCCAAGTCAGGTTTAGGCTGCTGAGGCGTGGGGAAACGAGGACTTGCCATTCTGGGAGCTGATAACTCTCTCAAAGGCTGAGGCGGAGGCTGATGCATCTGTCGCTGCTCTGCTGTCATCATTCCCTGACTGTCCCTGAAACCCTCGGCAGGGTTACCTTGCATCCCATGGAAGGGGCTCTGGGTCTGCTGTGCCTCCATGGCCCCACTTACTTGTGAAGGCATAGATACTGGACTTGGGGATACTGAGGTAGGGCTTAGCATCATGGTTTGCCCCTGAGGGCTGACCAACTGTTGCTGCGGGGGAGGGCAGGTGATGGCCATCTTTGTCCCCTTTTGTCTCCCTGGACTTGGGGTGGCTGACTTGCGGCTAGAGGCTGGACTTGACCTCCGACTATTGCTAGGACTTGCCCTCTTACCCTGCCCTCCAGTCTGCTTTTCCTGTTTAGCGCCTGGGCCTCCTGCTCCAGTGCCAGTAGAGAAAGGCTGCTGATTGTTGTTAGTGTTATTTCCACCAGCACTGCCATTGTTGTTGTTGCCTGGTAGAGTTAAGCTAGGAGGCGCCTGCCCTATGGCTTTCAGTGTTGTTGGGTTAAGACCTTGCTGGTCAAACCCCCTGTTTAGGTTAGGCTGTCTGGGAGGCAGAGGAATGTTGATTTTGGGAGGAAACAGCCCAGCAATAGAGGCATTTAGCCTCTCAGGTGAAAGGTTGATTTCAGAGGGCTCAGTACTGGGCGGACGATTAGTTGGGGTAAGGGGATGGTGGTATGGCCTGGGGCTGGCTCTGTTAGGAGTTTTGGGCCTGGAGCTCTGCGAGGTTGTGGGGACATTGGGGAAATGAAGACCAGGCATGGGGCCTCCCTGTTGAGGCTGAGTGGGTAACTGTTGCTGGGGACTGGCTCCAGTGTGCTGGGGCATCGGTGATGGACCAGGGACTTGCTTCATCATGTGAGTGTTAGAGCCCTGATTGGGCATCATCTGTTGGGCCCCATTTCCAGGGTGTACCCCAATTTCTGAACCACCAGACCTGTCTTGCTTTTGGTGGGCCCCTGCAGAGGCCTCTTCAGATCCAGTACTTTGGGGAACTTGCCCCACATCAGGATGGGACATTCTTCGTGTAGCACCTGCAAGCTGGAAGAGTACAAATACAAATGGTGTACAGTTTACTCCCAAGAAAATAAATAAAAGTGCACTCACAAGTACAATTTCAAATCACGAGATGTGAATGTCAAAATCAGTTTACGTGTTTCATCATTTGGCCCTTACCTGTGGGTTCACCATCAGAGGCATCACTCTGGCTTTGTCAGGTGATGGTGCTACCCCTCCATGTCCTTGAAGGCTGATCATTACAGGCATGTTGCCTGGCTGAGAGACAGGAAGCCTCTGTACCTCAGGTGGATTTCCCAGTCCCCTAGGAGGGAGCTGGCCTCCTGGAGGGATGGACATGCGATGCTTTGCCTGCTCCTGCTGCATCTTCAGCATCATCATCATCTGCTGTTGCTGCTAAAATGCAAAATGGGGCAAAATATTATTAACATTTTTATTGTTAACCAGTGTCTTAATACCAAACACTATCAAAAGGTAAATAACACTTATAATACCTGTTGTTGCAGGTGTGGTTGTTGAGTTTGCTGCTGGTGTTGTTGCTGCAGCTGATGAGGGTGCATCTGGGGCTGGCCTTGACCCGGAGTCTGCGGCCCTGTCATTCCCTGCTGCCCTTGAGCATTCTGGAGACCTTGCATCTGCTGCATCTGTTGCATCTGCTGCTGTTGCTGCATCTGTTGTTGTTGTTGTAATTGTTGCTGCTGTTGCTGTATTTGCTGCTGTTGCATTTGTTGTTGCATTTGTTGCTGCTGCTGTATTTGTTGTTGTTGTTGTTGTTGTTGTATCTGCTGCTGTTGCATGTGCTGCATTTGTTGTTGTTGTTGTTGTTGCTGCTGCTGCTGCTGCTGCTGCTGCTGCTGCTGTTGTTGTTGTTGTTGTTGTTGTTGTTGCTGCTGCTGCTGTTGCTGCTGTTGCTGCTGTTGCTGTTGTTGCATAAACTGCATGGGCACCTGCTGCAAAACTCTCTGGTCTCCAGTTTGGCCAGGAAAGCCTAGGGGATGTATAGAGAGGTATACATATACAAAACAGATACTAGTACAAATTTTGAGAAGTAAAGCATATTGTAAAGTTGCTAGACCTACAGAATCTGCAATTAATGGACATTTTAAAAAATTATTATTTTTACATCATGTGACTTAATTACCAGCAGGCCTGTTGGCAAAATCAGGGAGTTTCGGGCCAGAGTTGTCCAAGCCCAAATTCTGTTCACCGGCCAGATTTGGCAGTTCAGAATCCTCCATGCCAGCAGCCACATCAAGAGCACTAAGAAAAGAGAATAAATACATGAAGCTGAATTAAATAATTACTAGTACAGTAATACAACTGACTTCAACTGTCCACAATGGCGAAACCAAACTGTAACAAATACAAATTATTACCCAAGTCCCTCAACTTGCTGTTGGCCCTCTCCCTCTTTGGGCTTCTTCTTTCGTGCTGGTTTCTTCTTTTTGGGTTTGGCTTGATTGCCACCCCCTGCTCCCTGTTTTCCTCCTGGCACAAACTGGCTGGCTGATATATCACTCTGCAACAGGTTGACTAGCAGTGGGCTAGTCAGTGTTACATCCTTGCTGATGGGAAAGGCTCCTGCCTGTCCACAGGGTCCCCCCATTGGCATCTGACCTGGGAACTGTGAGTTAAAGTTCATGCCATGACCTGCGAAGTGACCATTTCCCATCTGCATGTGCTGAGGGCCCCCCATCATGCCTTGCTGTTGCTGTGCCTGCATATCTGGGACCATCTGTTGGACCCCCAAGTCACTTGTCCCATTATTAGGATCTCCCATAGGATGTGGGTGTTGCTGAGCTGCCTGTTGTTGTTGTTGCTGCAACATGGCCTGTTGCTGCTGTTTCTGCTGCTGCTGTAATTGCTGCTGCTGCAACTGCTGTTGGATAAGAGGATGACCAGCAGGGAGCCTCATCTGTTGCCCATGCATGCCCATAGCTTGATTAGGATTGCCAGCAATAGGAACCTGCTGGGGCTGTTGCTGGTTCATCTGCTGGTGTTGTTGTTGTTGCTGCTGCTGCTGCTGCTGCTGCTGCTGCAGCTGTTGCAACTGGTGCTGTTGCTGCTGTTGTAACTGCTGTTGTTGGAGTTGAGCCATTTGCTGCTGCTGTTGTGGAGTCATCTGCTGTGGGCCAACCTGGCCCTGGAACTGAGCCATGTTACCTGGAACGTTTGGAGAAGGGCCACGCATCATCTGGCCGGGCATGACCCCAGTTGGAATCTTGCCCCCAAATGCCTGCTTGTTTCCTTGCATCTGGTTGGCAACCATTTGTTCCATCATGGAGTTTTGTTGTTGTTGCTGCTGTTGTTGCTGCTGTTGTTGCTGCTGCTGTTGTAGGAGCATGGCCTGGTGCCCTTGGCCTCCAACCATCTGACCCTGCCCATGCATCGGCCCCTGGCCTTGCTGAGGTATCATCTGCTTGGGTGGGGTCATCCCTCCTCTCTGCCCTTGACTGAGGGGCCTTGAGAGGACAGTTTGACCTCCACCCTGGCCTTGAACCTTCTGGCTGGGGGAGGAGGACACGGGCTGGGCCTGATGCTGGAGGCCCATCATCTGAGTCTGGAGGCCAGGCTGTTGCTGACCCATAATAGGTCCAGTGGTTGTACCGGGGGGCAGACCTGCCATGCTACTTTGTACACCCATAACATTGGGTTGGGCATGGGGTGCACCCTGCATTGAGTTTGGTGTGGAGACTGATGGCTGGGCTCCTGATGTAACAGGGAGGGGAAAAAAAGAAGAAACTACATAAATGGGTTTCACAACAGGTAAGAAGGTAATAAGCTATTATGCCTTCTGCTTACTGCGTGGTAAGCCATGGAGTAGATTACTGCATACAGAAGGTTAAGTAGTGTAACTATGTAACAACTAAATGTAAGGCATCTTTGCCAAAAATGTTTGCAATTGCATAAACAGCAAATCTTTTAAAATGCTGAAGTATTGATCTCTGCCTCAAAAACCCAGTCCCTCTCTCCCATTTCACATTATTTAAATTTTCAAACCAAGCACCATTTTACCTGGGTGAGTCATCGCTTGGTTGCTCTGTAGCTGCTGACTGGTTCCTCCACAAGGGGTTCCTGGAGTGCTGGCATTCACCTGACCTTGGACAAAGTTTGGGTTTGGAAAGCCCATGGGACGCTTCGACATGCCTGTAATTAGTAATCATTACTTTTGTTATTTTAGACACTGGAGTACAACATTTATAAATACCATACTCTTTTACGATGGCAACCCCCCCTAAACATTTTTAATGTGTATTTGAGTCTACCAAGAAACAGTTACAACTTTAACCCACCTGGGTGAACTTGGGCCCCAGGCTGTCCATGCTGGGGCATTCCCATGAATCCTTGTTGCATGTTACCCTGTTGGCCGAGGGCTGCTCTTCCTGGTGATCCAACACCCTGAGGGAAACCCTGTGGAGTTGTAGGTCTCTGAGCCATCATGGGAGGAGTCCCTGGTGAACCCTGTTGAAAAGGAGACGAGGAGGAACCAGGAGACTTGGCAGTGAGGTTGCCCTGTGGTCCAGAAGTTGGTGGAAGGGGTGGAGGGGGTCTGGGCTGCCCTGCAACACCACCAGGGCTGGCCTGTGGGCCTTTAGGTTGGGGAGCTGCAAACTGACCCACTCCAGTCTGCTGTTGTTGCTGTAACTGTCCCTGTCCCATGGCATTGAATACCTGCCCAGCCTGCTGGCTGCCAAATGGGTAAGGGGGCGGAGGGTGGCTAGGAGTTTGAACTGTAGCAAGGGAGGGTGGGCGTTGAACCATTTGGGCTTGGGGTGGCGGCTTTCTCCAGGCAGGGCCTCCTTGGGCGGCTGGTGACTGGAGGACCCCGGGGGGCAACTGGTTCCAGCCAGGAGGTGGCACAGCCATCTGGCCTGATGGGTTGAATGGAGGTCTAGGTCCTAGCTGGGATAGCTGAGCTTGCTGCTGGACCTGTTGCTGTTGGTGATGCTGTTGTTGTTGTAGCTGCTGAAGCGCAGCAGGGTTCAGCGGTCTCCCGGCTTGCAGAGCCTGCATGTGATGGGCAGCCTGAGGAGGCATTGGGCCTGAGCCATGGGGACCAGCCTGTTGGTGCTGAAGTTGCTGTTGCTGCTGAACTGACATACCTGGCATCATTGGATCCATCAAATCTATTTGAGAGGAAGGAAGATGTGGTTCTTCCATTATTGTACTGTCAGAGCGGTTAGATATTCAAAATTACATCATGTATCATTTGACGTACAAGAAATAATGACCTGAACCTGTCTGTGAAGATGGTCTTGGAACACGAGGATGCATCTGTCCACTGCTGCCTGGTACCATAGCCTGACCTGCCATACCCGGCCCAGCGGCAACCATTGACGGATTAGCCATCCTTACTCCTCCTTGTTGAAATATATGCATATTAAATCATTATGTGCAAACAGACAAACAGCTAATATTTATAAATGGCTGAACATATTTAATAGAAAATTACAGATTAAAAATACATAACTAATGAATGGCTATAACAACTGATAACCATGCAACACATTCAACTATTTTTGGTCTTTACAGATTTTTAAGTCGTGTCTTTATGGAGGCATGTATGTTAGAAATAATAATAATAATAACAATAATCATCATCATCTTCATCATCAGTAGTAGTAGTAGTATAAGAAAAACAATCAATGGTTGCATATTACCTACTGTGTCATTAAAAAACTACTACTAAATGAACCACTATCCAATATTCAAGCACAGTTTCAGTCTAGTTCGTATATAGAGACCATGCGTAATCAATTCAGTAAATTAATACCTGGACCAGGCTGACCTGGAAAGCCGACATCCATTCTCATCTGGCCAGGTGCTCCAATTGGTCCATTCACTCTGACTTCTTGACCTCTATTTGGTCCCACAGCCACATTGATGGCCCCTTCCCCTGAACATGAATAGAGGAAACATCTATGAAAAACATTTACTACAGGAAGTCTAGTTGATATCCTTTATTTTGAAGTAGTACTGTGCATTTAATCAAATTTTCAATTACGATTTTGGCGTCCAACAATTATGAAAACAAGATTATCGAGATAAAGCTAGCCTATTGTGCCGCATTCCATTTCGCAATGATGTAGGGTTGGGTGATGGCTGACAGAAATCACAGCGTTGAGCCAGCATCCTGACTGTAAACCCCCCCCCCCACCAGCAAAAAAATCTTACATTTTCACATTATACCACCCTGTGAAAGCAGGTTTTAATGAACACGAACATTCTTATTATTGTTTTTAAGTATGCTTTGCACCTGCCTCAGAAATCAATTGTCCACACACTCACAAACACCTACACCTCAGGTAAACACCCCGGCTTGCCCTGCCTCCCTCTCTCTTATGATTTCTGCCATAATTGACTGCCAGCTTTATTTTGAAATGCCATAGACAAAAAAACATTGTGTCTTGCATCCTATTTTGAAGTGACAAGGGGTTTGAAGGCTGAGCTGTTACCTTCTATCTGCACAGAGAGAATCCCCAGGTCTCTCAGCTGCTGCTGGTTGTTTTGGGCCAACAGTCTGAGACGCTCAGCAGCATCTCGAGGAATGTTGAAGGTAACCCGCACACTGTTCCAAGGCTCCACATGCTGTGGCCATAGCCTACCAGAGCCTAAAAAAGGGACATGGAATGGATTCAAGTTGTAGTTACAGTGTATACAAGATTGGAAAAAGAGACTACTGGTCAGGAAGGACAGAAGGACAAGGAAAAGATAAACACAAAACTGTTGCTGAAATATACAATGCCACACAGAAATAGGGGCATGTTTCAAATATGCAGTGCTTCTGAAACTTGTGCACCCCCTCTGGACAAAGAAACAAAGTGAATGTACCTCAGATATTCTGACACTGATCAATAACAAAATAAGAGATTCTTCAACGTCAGAGTCATCAAAAGTAAACTAACCCATATCTAGCATGTTTGGTATCCCACTGAGGACAGTGTCAAGTTTTTGTGTGAAGTCCTCATCCTCCATATCCCCTTGAAAGGCAACAAAAACTGTAAAATCTCTGTCCTCCCCGCTGTTTTCTTCTGTGCCATCATGCTTGTTGACTTTCTCCTCTTCTGTTACTGTGCTTTCATGGCAACTGTCAGCATCCTCCCCTGCATCATCGCCAACACCAGAGTCCATGTCGGAATCATTATCAGGCTGCAGGTAATCTGTCCTCTGGGACAGCGGAGGTGGGGTACGTCGATGTGCCATCCTCCCCTCTAACTAGGAGTGGCGTTTGAACCGTTTCATGCTGAAATTGCAGAGAGAGACACAGATCCAATCTTGAAAACCATTAGTGTCATCGTCAAGAGACAAGTACACTGGATACAATCAGTAGTGGGGTAATGAAAACTTCCTTATAGAGCAGATAAGATGCTGGATAAATAGGTAGCTACGCTGTAAGCTTCAGGAACAACGTCATTGTCATGTTTTTCTTTTTCTAAACTCACGTCAGTTAAAAGGATGACGTTATCACAGTAATGTTAAAACTAACGTTAACAACACTACTCCACGTTAGTGACATAAAAAAATCTAAATTTATTCTAGGTGGTCGGGATAATTTAATAGCAGTGTGATATGTAATAATGGTAAATAACGTGACATTGATAAATTCACTAACGTTACAATAACCGGTGGCCAGCTTGGTTAACATCGGCCCAGCAGTAGCTCGGGCCTTAGCGCAAACGTAAGCTAATGTAACGACATCAAAGTCGGCAGGGAGAAGACACACAGCCCGTATTCAATGTTTTTGTACATTTTCATGCCGATACGAACATCACTCAGAGTTCAAATGAATATGTTTCTAGCAGACACTCCAATAGGAAAGAGGATACAATTATGTCAAAGCAGTTCCTGCTGGCTCCTCCGAAAGCTCCAGTTAGCAAACGTTAGCTGCGTTAGCTGGGTAGCACTGCAGTTAATTCATCATGAATGCACTGAAACACAACTTACTAGCTTCCCAATTTATTGGCGTAAACTTGCTACAGATCACCAGCAGTACATTAGGAATGACAAAAGCAAAATTCTTACCACATATATTCATCTGAAAATAGGTTCAAGGCGACATCTGCTAGCCAGATTAGCTAACAAAACATGAATCACAAGCAAGTCAGAAACGATGTCAAACTGGCACGACGAAAAATACTGCTTCCGGTAGTGCTTTCCAAAAGAAAATCCCGATTGAAAATGGAGCCGCAACGTCCGTTATGAGGAATACAAAATACTGAAGAAAAGATTAAAAATTTGCATTAAGTAGCTCAAAAACAAATCCAGTTACGTTTTTTTCAAAACTTAATCTTTTAATTTAAGCATTTTTTACATTCCTATTTAAAATAGTGGTTCCATGTTCCTCATTTTTGTAGCCTGACGCCTTGTTTTCAGTTTTCTATGGTCCTTTGAGCCATGGATTCAATAAAATACACACTTTGGTTAAATTGTTGCAATGCCTCTATATAAATATATGCAGCAGAATCTTGATTGGTGTGCACATTCATCACTGGCATTTATACATAGCAAAAATAATACAATAATACAGGTTATGTGTAATTTGTAAAATGCACCAGTTTAGTTTATAATTCATCCATGTACCCCTCAGTTTGGGAAAGAGTGAGCTCACTTATTACTCTACAGTAGGTCATATGCACCAAATGCACACTTATGGAGGAAAAAAGGGGCAAACATTCTTCAGTGTTAGGATGTGTGCAAACATTTTATTTCTTGGTTTGGACGGTGCTGATTTTCATTAAAACCAGGTACAAATGAACATGAAATCAAACATCAGGTGTTGTGCAAATGCGTGCCTTAAGGCATGGTACTATACAGTACAATAAACAAGCATCAACAGTCATATTGCACTAGTGCCCAACAACAATAACAAGGTTAGGACATGTTTGATCTGTCAGTCCAAGCCATTCTGGAATTAACCACTTTTTAGATGCAATGTTTTACAAAAGCTGCTGTACCTACCTAAAATATATTACACAAGTAAACAAAAAATAAATACTATAGCCTACAATGTGCTGATTCAATTCATTGTTACAACAGTAGAAATAATGTATACAGCCCAAAAAATGTTGATATAAAAATAGACAGATTACATTCAATCCATCTGTAAAGACTATTCCCATTCTAAAAACAAGTATCCCCATTCTAAATAAAAACAAATGTAAGCCACAAGATTTAAATGAGAACAAAATCATGCAACAACTAAACATTCTAAAATTATATATTTAAATACATTTATTCTACCATTAGTAATATTTAACACCTGTGAACCTGAAGCAAATCCTCTTGTATAAGGAAATCAGTTGAGATGGGAAGGTCTTACTTTAGTTCTGTATGACATATTTATATAATGTGTTACCATGGTCCCAAGGAGCCATTGATTGTTCGCAACTATTAAAACTCCAGCAGCTGTACCAAACAACATCTAATCACAGTTACACACCATATCAAGAGCAGGAGAGTACACAGTTTAGCCTCTGCGTTCAGTTTAGTATTGTCAATTGTGACAATTCAAGGTTTAAATATTATTACCTTCTCTATCCCATGTTATCTCATGTGTTATTTGGAATGATGGTGAAATGCAGTAAAAGAGTCGAAAAGCAGAAAGGTGGGCCAAATATACTGAGGACCATGCATTGTGTTGTAAGTGGTGGCTTCCTGGTGTGACATCATTACTTTTTTCATGCCTGCCCATTCTTGCAATGAATCAATTGGCTCATCATCCATTTCCATCAGAATTCCATATCCTATATTCAGAGAGTAACACTCTTGAATGCCCCACTCGGCACCTCGCAGACAAAAAAACTAGCTGCCACTCAATGTTATGGAAATACCTTTAAAATCCATTACGCTTTTCTAATTTATTTTTCACATCCACTAAGTATATCTACTGTAAACCCCTTAAGTTTATTGCTTTCTTTAAGTGGATCTGGAATTTGAAGTGATGAACACACCTTGCATCTCTGTGCCCTGCTCTGCGTGATATAGACTGCAGACGCTGACTGGTGCAATTAAAAGAACACTACCCACATTGAGGCTGGATGTTATCTGAGGCTGTGAGGGAGGGCATGCCAACATCGTTATGTGAGATGGTGATCCTCTGAAGTTTTCTGTCAGCAAAATATCTATTTAGTGGATCATATCAGATTCCTACAAGGTCATCTCAGACAAAGCTTTTTTTTCCATTAAACAACTGCCATTAACTTGTGTTTAGTGTATTAGTTGATGAGGAGCCTCCTTACTCCCTCACTAACCATCATACAGTGTTATACTTACCCCTTCTTCATTATGTGTGAGTATGGGATGAGGGAAGGGGGTACACTAGGGTATGTTGGACATAGTGAGGGCGGAGGCATCAGCACTACGGGGGTCCTTTACCCCAATGATTAGGTCATTGGTTCTCCGGGTGCCCTCCACCAATGACAAAACATCTACCTTCTGCACCTTGTGACCTTTGGCTTGCAGAAGCTCCATGTCTTCGTCTAGAAACTCAGCTGTAGGAGAGAAAGAGACAGTGGGAGAGAAGAAGATGATCTGAGGTTAGTGGGAAGAATTGACAATGAATAATAATAAACTGAATAAATGTTTACACCTGTTATTCAAATGTAATGTTAATCTGGCAAGGGAAAATAACACTGAGTGGGTTCACACAGCACATGAAGCAATCCTGGTATGTCTATGAGGATTTTTGGTCATCCAGGTCATAGTATATCATGTTTAAAACCAAGCACACATCCAGGAGTACTTCAAGCCAAGATAAGATTATATTAAGAACCAAGACATCCTGATCTGTGCTCTTCACTGGATCACGATGAATGTACCAGAAACTGATACTGTATCTGATTCCTGGAGCCAGCGAGAAAGTGTGATGTTTGCAATATGGGTTGACAGCATTTACAAACATATCATCACTATTTTTGCCACTTCCCACTAAAATTTGCAGAAGATTCATCTTTTCACAGCACAGGAAGTCAGGCCAATGTAAACCCTACACCTGCCACCTTTGTTTTTGATGACAATAGACGCAATTACTGCCTCCCTCATCTACTTTGCACAGCATACACAATCTGATAAATATTGGTACAAGGGCACTCTTGGTTTGATCTTTATTTAGATGGCATAATCCGGGTGCAGGCGCATATTTCCCGTTAATATCAGGAAATAACAAATGAAGTCAAAAGGCCAGTAAGCCCAAAGCACAGCAATCATAGTTTTTGGATGGTTATTTCACACAATAGAAGGATCAGTTGGAAAAACTCACAGTCCACCAGGAGGATGTCAGGCTGCAGCTGTGGGTGGAGTCTTCCGTATGCTACGCTGTCACTCATATTTTTACGCAAAGACAGAACATTCATCAGCACCTATGAGGGATTACAAAATGGAACAAAAGATGCATAGAACAATAACACATACATTAATGAATTGTTAACACAGGCAGAGTTTTTGATTTTTAATTTGGACAGGAACAAACCAAAAAAAACACATTTCTAGAGGGATATATTTCCAAACATATAAGAATCTACAATTAAGCATGAATTTAATTAATTGTTCCAGAAATTTTATCACCTGTGTGATGCCACTGAGAGCTTTCTCTTCATTGGAAGATCCAACAGCTACATATGTGCCACATAACCCAACGGCAGGCCTCACTACTGTGGGCATCAGGAAAGACATGGGCCTCTTCCCAGGCCGGACGCTGTTATGCTACAGAAAAAGAAAACAAAGACCGCGAGGACTAAAAGCAGCTACAGGAAAGCTTTCAATAAGAAATCAATCAATACTGCAATCAACTAAACAAAGACAAAATGAACAATTACTGGATTAGGTGATGAGGACTGTGTTTCATTAGGCCAGGAGAAGTCCAAGATCTGGCTATTCAAGAGGATTCCTGAAGGAGTCACTATCCCGCTGCCGAATGGTTTGTTTAAAGAGCTAAAACAGCCACCAGCAAAAAGAAAACTGGTCTTAGTTTAAAGTTTTCCAGTGATATCAACAGCCACCGCGATTTGCTCAAACAATGTGTAATAGCAGTTCAATTAAAGAATGATGTACCTCATGACTGACACAATGTGATCGTCTGGGCCCATGACCATGACTTGGGCAGCTGCTGCACCTGCCACCAAGGTAAACGATGGAGTGTAATGGTTCACAGGGAAGGTCTGAGAGTCGCTGATAATCTGGCGGAGTAGGGAAGCCTGCGATTTACTTGGAGATGAGAACAACAAAAGGGGAGGGTTAAATGAAAATACCTTCATGAATTAGGATGGATGTATGCATTATATATTTAAAGACGACACAGGGATCTCTACCTCAGCATCTTGGCGACAATCTCTGAGACAGCAGGGTCATACATGGGGTCTCCCAGCCCACTAGCCAGGCCAAGAGCTATCTTTACAGCCTGGGAGAGGAATGCAATACACATTATGTAAAAATCACATGAATTACTGCAATTTATGCTGTATAGTGGCAAAGCCGTTAGTATACTACCTCTGCAATCCAGTGGTAGGTGCTGTTTCTGGGCAACTGGCCAGTAATGTTGTAGCCTTCCAGGATGTTGAGAGCAGTGATCAAGGCAACACCTGCGTGTGGGGCCGAGGCTGTCATCACATGGTGTCCTTCAGAAACAAAAGAAAACACAAGATTGAAAATGTTATCATGAATTTTAGGGGCAAAATAACTTTTGAAGATACTTGCTATCCACCGGACCACCGTGCCGCCCACTGTTTTCCACTGTTTATACATTTTACCACGTCAAAGTGGACATGTCTTTGGTCATTATTAAGTTGAGGGACATACTATATTTACAGGAACACTAGAAGAAACTAGAGAATGCAATTTCTGAAGAACTTGAACTTGCGGTGGGATTAATTAATGAACAGCTGGGAGTTTCTCCTTCGCACAAAGTTAAGCCAGCAACTCAATACCCTCAATGAGCTGAACCTTTTGAAGTTTGAATGACGTTGTACATTGAATGGTAACAAAGAAAAATAATAATAACGAGAAATGGAGAAGACCATAGATGGCAGTTACCCTGCAATCCCATCTATGATTCAGCTCAAGTGAGTTTTATGCTGATTTATGGGTTATTCCTCTATCAGCTCTGATGTAAATACAGGTATTTACCTTGATAGATGATCTCTGCTGGCTGCTGTAAGACTGTGCTGTAGTTTCCAAAGTCATCCTCTGTGAGCACTCCTCCTCTTGCTTGTACCTAGAAATCGCATAGAGAGTTCAAATTTAAAGTGGATGAGGAAATCGTTGTCCTGTGCACTATCACTAACAGGGAACTTTAATTGTCAAACTTTTGACCGTGCATGGATACAATGGATTAAATTCTACCAGTACTAAACTCACAAACCTATTCAGTCAAATAATGCCCAGTGAATCTAAATGACAATGTAAGTTGGTTTGACCTGTGGTGTTTGTAGTTAGATCCTGATTTTGTTATGTGTGTCTTTAAAGATTGAGTTACTCTCAATATTGAGGCTAAAATTTAAAATATTTCTCGAAGAGTACAAATGTCACAGACTGGAGTAAAGTAGATTACAGTCTAGTCAAGCCTTCCCCATCCTGGATTTTATGTTTCCTCAGCAATTTTTTCTTTGCTCTTCTTTTTCAACATTATATTTGATTATTGTATTGTTTATACTATTTTGTCACAATGTCGTCACTAAATAGCAGTGATACTCTAGTGGCATGTACATTTACTCTCAGAGGAGACACAAGAACATACAGTCAGTGGCCACTGTATTAGATACACCTATACAATCTACTGCAATTCAATACAACTGCGCCTTTAATTCTACTGTTGCAAAGTTTATAATGTTTAGTTTTTGATATGTTCAGAAACGTGTAAACATCACTATGAACTCAATGCTGAGAGATACAATTCAATTAACACCTCTATAGGTATAGGTAGGTATATAGGTATCGTAAAAAGTCAATTTTATGGCAGAACGGTTGTACTGGATTGCATTAGATGGCACAGGTGTGTACCCAATAAAGTAGCCACTGAGTGTATAATTTATTATATAGTAACATATAATCATTTTATACAAAACATTGAATACATTCTATGCTGATTTATATTTTGAAAACATAATCTGAAATCACAAAAATACCAAAAAATAATAGCTCTGAGCAATAATAATTAACTTAATAATAATAATTAACTAACTAACTTAATCATAATTTTTGCCACAATATGACAGTAATGAATTATTATCTCATCTGATCTAGAATGTAAAAAGCCAAGGTGACGGTACAAAAGGGACTTTTTGTTGTTTGAGTGGTAAAACGGACTTCCCACGGAGATTATGCAGAATTCATGACTACTTATATAATCCTAGTTGGAGACGGGGGAGAGACAAAAACATTCTTCCTTACTGCTACTGCCATTTCCTGTGTTAAGTTTCCACTGTAGAACTCCGATATCCCCTTAACTGCGACAGCATCCAAGATGGCTGCTAAATCAAGACGTCTGATGGACTGCCCAGGGAGGGGAGCATGGCCGTTGGGGAGGAACAAATCCCGAAATGCAGCCGACATGTTTTGGTCCTTAACTATAGCCAGAGCTTCAGCTAAGGAGAGAGAGGAAGGGCAGATTGAGTACATGCTTTATCTTCATATATGACTTCACCTTTTGTTATTCGGGAACAACACTGAAGCCGGACGATAAAGCTGGTGTTTTATTAGCCACTGGAGCTGTGTATTTAGTGAAGGTGACTACCCACAGTGATTTGTACAGCATTAAACTATACTTACCTAGGTCATGAGTAACATTAAATCCATTTCTGGCCACATCTGCTGCCATAGTAACCACATCCTCCCACGGCATTCTGGGGAATTCAAAAGTCATGAAAGATTTGCTTACAAATGTTTAAAACCATATATACATACACTCTGAACTGGATTATTGTGCAAAAAATGACATACCACAATATTTTAGCACAATGCTTAATCTCCATGCATGGATGAAGTTACTTAGTTCTGTAACCTCATCCTCTTACCAGTTGGAGCATCAGTATCATGATAATTACACAGCATCAGGGTAATTGCGGCCCTAGACTCTGGCTTTTACAACAGCTGGTGATACTTCCACTATGAGAAATCATTCCGTTAGCCCTGAACTCTGCTACATGCACATGCTCTGTCAAAGTCAACATTATTAAAATAAATAGTCTAAACGACTACAGTATTCACGACACGGTAAGATGGGGAAAGACCGAACAAATAAAAACAGCATTACATAATAGTTACTGTACCTGCCATAGAGCTGGTGTGCCTGATGCATCCCACTGAGCATGCCTGGTACTCCCACCAACCGGCCGGGCTGAAAAGCAATAGCAAGAACACGGTGCACACATTAACCCCAGAGCTAAACAATAAGACTATCTTCTGTTCTCATCCTCAAAATCTCACTGCTAAAATTGGACACACCAGAAAAAGTGCCTTACATTTTGACTAAGGTTCTTCTGAAGCATCTCCTCGTAAATGGCCGATGGTGCCGTCTCTCTGAAGTCGATGACCCTCGTCTCATTCTTACGGATGTCATGCACCAACATAACTCCACCACTAAACATCAACAGAACACAAAGTCAGCTTCAGATTCTTATTCAGCCAACTCTGAGAACCCTAAGCGGCAGCCCTGTTTGGAAGAGATTAAAATGTTCACTCACCCTCCAATACCAGAGGTGTGAGGGTTGACAATGCCCAAACAGAGGGCAGCAGTGATGGCAGCGTCAACACTGGACCCCTGTTTCATCAGAACTTCAAAACCAAGAGATGTACACTGGGCCACATCTGTCACCACTGCCCCTTGGTTAAAGACCTTGAATGAAACAGGAGAACAAAGCCGGAGGGCGGACATTGTTATTAAGCCTTTGAACCACCTTGGACTCCAAGAGGAACATGTAGAATCACTCATAATCCATCATAATAATTATTTTTTTAAAAGCAACACTATTGCAACATGGTTACAAAAGTGTAAATGCAGGCAACACAAACATAACCATACCTGTGGGTCTCCAAAGTAGATCTGCATGATGAGAGCTACAGTGACTCCAGTGGCGAAGGTGAGACAGGCTGTGATGATGACTGTCAGTCCATCTCGCTGGCAAGCACAGTCTTCTGTGAAGGGGTCTCTGTTGGTCTCCTGCAGGGATGCGATATCATGACTGGCCAGGTCCGAAGCTGAGGAGGGGAGACGCTGGAGGCGAGCCGACTTCAGAAACAGATCTGGGTCTGGACGCGCAACACAGTAAAATGAATGTCTTTGGGATTTTGGACTGTTGGTCAGACAAAACAAGGCACTTGAGAATACCACATTGGGCTCTGGGAAATTGTGACAGCCATTTTTCACCATTTCTAGATATTTTATAGACTAAACAATTATTCAAGATAATAATCAGCCAATTAAATGATAATGAAAATAATTATTTGTTGTTTAAATTGAACCTTTTGAAAAACAACTCTTGGAGTTTTGACTGAAAAACAATGCTGCATGAATCAACATCCAAACCTAAGCACACTCAATTATAGCGTTTGTGGAAGGTATATTTTGTAGTTATTGTGTCTGACCTGACTGACTCACCTGTTTCTTGCTCACTCAGGACATTGTCATCATCTTTGCGGGATCTTAAGGTGTTTTCCCCAGACAACATGTCGTCCTCGGGCAGCCTGGGGAAGCTGGTGATGCTCATGTAGTCCACCGGAGAGTACGCACTCCCCAAGGTTGTCTCCGGATTGGGATCTTTATCCGCCACACATCCAGTTGGGTACCCTGCCACAATTTCAGGAGCAGGGCTGTGCATGGCTGCTGCTGATCCTGCAGTCACACAGTTAACCTATTATTTATGTTTAGGGTGTGAGGGAGTTAGGCCACATCTGTTTATTGTTTGGGATGACCAGCTATTGTTATCCAGCTTAAAAAGCACTGTACTAAATTTATGGACCTCTAGTGTTGCTGTAGTGGTGATTACATCTATTGATGGGATCTTTAATATCCCATAATATCACAATTCTCCTACAGGGATTTGTAGTTTTATTTTCTTTTACGACATAAGCATCCCTGCTACAAGATGAATGCAGTTTCTAGCCTACTTCTTATTGAAAATCTTTGATAGGCAAAGGCACGGGGTGTGTAAAGCTCCGATGATGATGCATTTTCCCATCATGTACGGCGCCACCTGCAAAAGACAACAACTCATGCAGCTCAACTTGTTTTCGACAAGGAATTTCCTTAGATGTCCTTGAGTTGTAGCCTGTTTACCTTGCAAAGTCATAATGTTACACTCATTAGTTAGACACACAGACCGTGCCTTAAATAATAACATGCGACAATATGTCTGCCTCTGCCAATGGCGCAGAAAAGCGGCTAACTAAATTAACGTCCTATTCTATTTTAAAACAACACAATTTTTACCTTTTACAACACAATCACAAAGCCGACCCCCCGAAGCGCTATATCCTGATGGTGCTGTTTATTCGCCGCGCTGTCACAAGCTAACACATCTTTCTGTTGACTCAGTAACAAACCTGCGGCGGCAGAGAGCTCACGGCGAGGCTGTTGTCACTTACCGTGGTCGTAATTTGCGTGTAGTCAAGTAAAAAATCATCCATGTAGGTGATATTTGGGATTTTTGAACACGGCAGGTGAGGTGAGCATAGCTCTCCGTCACCAAGACTACAAGAGCTCCTAAATCACTTCGCCACACCGCAGCGATGTAAGCGTCACGTTACAGCCCAGCATACAACCGGTAAGACTTGTCAGTGAAATAGCTAGCTGTAATTTAAGCTCAGATTTTATTGAATAGGCCTTCGACTGTGACTTGACTTGAGTACCAAAAGGCAACCTGGAATAATTGGAATGTATGACTGATGAGGAAATGTTCTTAAATTACACATATCACGTAAGAAACATGGCCGATGGCCGTGCCATTGGCGAGACATCAATATCAGACTTACTTCATAGAGAGCCGCTACGTCTCAACGCCGCACAGCTGATGACCGAATCCCATTTTCAGCACAGGTGCTTGAAGCCAGTTCCCATCCAATGTTACGACAGTGGCCAATTGGAAAACTCTCCCAGGACAGGACACAAACCCGTCAAGTCTTTATGGTTGAGTAGCCTGCTTAATGACTGGTGAAGCGGATATACAGGTTTTAGCAGGTCTACAGCATACCTGCTCCAATTACCATTTGTCCCTCCCATAAAGCCTCATTCTTTTGTTGTTTTTTGTTTCTTCTACCGCCTATATATGAGTCTTGGTTAACAGTGTACAATCATGTGACTCCTCCACAGCAAATAGTTGCAGGCTACTCTTGTCAATTCACAGATAGGACAAAGGTCAGCTAGACACTAAATTATGTTGCTCAGCGTCTGCATCCCCTGCTGGAAAAAAACAGCTGGGTGTTGAAAAATAGGCTACTGGGAACACATTTTCTTTTTACCTGACATTGGTGAGAAAGGAGGAAAAGAAACAAAAGAAAAGAAAAAAAGAAATTGGGGAAACAGGACAGGTTTTCAGCAGCAGCGGGGTACCTGTGGTGATCTTCTACTACATCTATCTACATTTTTCATTAACACACACTTGTAGTTAGGCCACCAGCCATCTGTCACCACACACCACAATGGATTATCCTTATTCTACATTAGGCCCCCTTACAACAGCATCGTACATGTCTTGTCATAATTTGCTTGCTTTTAATTCCTCCCTTGTTCCAGCGTCCAGTCTATTGCACTAAAGTTGGGCATGACAGCACCCCACCCATATCAAGTCCAAGCACTATATTTACACTCCATTACCACACCCATCTGTTAAGTGTTTTTTGCATACTGTAAACTTCCGCCTGCAATCATACCTTCATCTGCAAGGTACACAGTGGTTGTCCTACTTCACTCCATCTAACTTTATCTTTTACTTATCTAACATACTTTTTACTCCACTACATTTATTTGACAGCTACAGTTACTAGTTACTATGACCAGTTTATGAAAAATTATACACCGTTAAAGATTTAACAACCCAAATGCAAGTAAACTAGTTAAAATTCTCTCCCTCTTGACTAGCTACATTGTTAAAATGCTGCTTAATCCATCTGTAATAATCATAGACTGTATATAAAAAGGTAATAATTATCAAAAATCACTGACAGGGGCCATTCTGCTGCATAATTGGTATTTTTACTTGTGATACATTTAGCAGATAATATTTCCATACTAATACTTAGGATGTCTGTGAAGGTTCTCAGTCATCCAGCTCATAGTTATCTATGCCTGAAGAAGTCTCTTGGATGAGGGACTTCTAGTATCTTCAACCAAGTCCAGTTGCCCTTGACTTTAACCTTCCTTGGATACTAATACTTAAGTGCAGTTTGGTATGCAAGACTTCTATGTGTTTAGAAGTGTTTTTACATGGCACGCCTACTTTCGACTAAGTATTGGGTCTAAATACTAAACACCTTCTTTGCTCTAATCCCATTCCCTCCTGCTCTCCCACATGAAAATAAAGACACAAGATTCAGGTGTTAACCTGAGTATTTATTGTTGTTGGGTTTTTTTTGGCGGGTACCTTTGTTTCTGAATGGATGCTGGAAAACCCCATCAGGTGACTTTTGCATAGGTCTTGCTTGTCAGTGGACGACCGTCCACTTTGGGGATGGAAAAATCAGCACATCACAAAAACCATGCAGAAATAGTGAAAGGCACAATCACCATACTGTAGATATCAGATACACCAAATTTTATATGTCTATATATTTCATTTTTATGGGGGGGAGGGGTTTACTAATTAAGATGTAACATGGGTGAAACCCCAAATGTTTTTAAGCTGCCATCATTTCAGGGCACAACATTAAACATATTAAACTCCCCAGACATTCAACGCCTTTCATTTAAAATATTCCATTGGTGAACTGTTCTATACTATATGGGAAAATACAAGCATATTCTATTGTATTTTTACAATACATTTAATTCATTTTTTTATAATATATAAAGTATCTTTCTCCTGCCTCATCATTTCCCTGTCCACATCATGTAGGCTCGACACACTTGGTGACCACTCCCTCTCCCCATAGTTTGATGACTTTCACTCTTAAACCACACCTTTCAATAAACACACACAACGTACAGGGAACACATTTCCTTTTTAACCTGACACTGGTGAGAAAGAAGAAAAGAACCAAAAGAAAGGAAAAATGAGGGAAAACAGGACAGGTTTGCAGCAGCAGAGGGGTATCTGTGGTGATCTTTAAATTTTTTATTCACACACACACCTGTGATCTCTCATTATTACCCTGTTTTCATTCTGTATGTACTATTGTAGAACAGGCGAACAAAATGTATAGTTAGTAGTTAGAATAGTAAGACCCCTGGGGAGTGCGGAAGCCTAAATAGAGATCACTGTGTGTATAATGTTTGTGTGTGTGTGTGTGTGTGAGAGAGACTCATCATCACCTCAGATCCATCTCCTGCACCATTCAGAGGAATCAACAGAATACATCAATAGTCATCTTTAAACAGAAAAAATCTCATATTCATAATTATATCATAAATTAACATATATTAACATATTTTGAGTCATTTATAGGATTATTGGCAGAAATAAAAACTGTTGTGGTATGATTCAAGGGGAAATAGTGTATCTTACTTGATACAGACATAGCTGATCTAAATCAGACAAGACATGTCCATTTTCCAAACAATCTGAAATGAATCCCCATACTTTCATCCTGTCCTTTGAACACACCAGTACACATTGTATTGAAACCATCTCATAGTACTGTATCCTCACCAGCATCCATTCAGCTAGTGCTGTGCTAATGGACCCTCTGGAGGGCAGTTCTTGCCTATGGCAGTCAACTCTGAGTCTAGTGCTGGCTTTATGGTGCATCTCAAAGAGATGAAATCGAAGATGGGGCAAAGACACCACTTTTGGCCACGGAAATGCCCTCGTGATTTGATAATGAGCACAGATGTGAGGCAGAGAGAGGATTCTCATTAGTACCATTGGACACAACGTTGTGGACTCAAGTCCTGAGAGGCTTTGACATCTAACGGAAGGTTGTAAATTGTTTTGTAATATTTACAAGACAAATAAATGATCGCTATTCATGTCTTTTTAAAGAGTTTCTAGCATTTAACATGTCAGTACACCTTCGCACCCACAATTTGAATCAAAAGAAAAAGAAAAACAATATATCACAAAAGAAAAACAAGCACACAGCACGCCGCTAAAACTCTGACAAAATGTATGACAGTGCAAACTTACATCCATGTCTCAAATAATTTACAAACATTAGTATACACTTCAGCACCATTGTTTACTATTGTTGTTGAATACATATCAGTATGCTAGATCTTTAAGTGGACATTGTTAGATAATGACATAAGCAAGATGATAGTTTTGAATGTGTTCTAAGGGGAAGATGGGTGTCATTAGGCTTGGAGGAGACGGTTCTCCTCTTTTCTCCTAACAGTGGCCTCCTGGGCAGTCGGTGACTTTTCAATGAAAGCGATCGTTCTTTCTTTTTGGTGTTCACATGGAAAACGTAAGATCACAGCACACACTGTGGATGGAAATGGCCGATGTGTGCCGGGCTCATTACTTTAGTTCACAGACCACACATTTAATGATCGTTATGCTGCGTGAGATCCACAGGGAGCAATTTTTTTGCTGGCTTTAAAAGCCAGAGGTGTACTTTCTCTTTTTCTGACAGGAACAAACTTTCTTTTCTTTCTTTTTTTGGTGGAGTCACACAGAAAGAGAGAGACTGAAAAATAATATTACAATTTACAAGACAAAATGAG